TCTGAGTACATTAACCCGAATCATAACAAACCAATCTGAACTACTTTGTTTACATCTCAACCACTGAATTACAAAGACATTTAGAAAAATCTGTGAAATTTCCCTTTAAGGAATCACCTGTTGTTTTTAGTATATATTTCGAAAGGGTATCAAATAAGCAACTTAGCAATTTCTGCCAGTGGTATAATGTTTCAGGCCTCAAATTATCTCTTGGATGTATGTGACATGCTGATTTTTTGGCATGTGGAAAGTTTATGATGACCTTTTAGCTGCTATAGGCTTATTTATGTATGGCTAAGAAAATGTGTACTTTAGACTTTGTGCCTGAGCCTGTTGTTTTAATAAATGCAGGTTTAGCAAATAATGAAGAAAGTCATGCATGTTTATAGGCTGTTATAGCTGCTAACATACTTTGATCTAGATGTTGAAAGATGATTGGTGGTCTAAAAAGCATTACACTAAAAGTGAAAAGTGGATACTGTATGGCACCAGCCAAAGAACTCTTTTCACCATCTTTGTTTTTAATAGTGTGCATTCAGTTTGTATTATGGACTGTCAAGATTTCTGTGATCTTCTATGGCATGTTTTTGAATGTTTCAGGTATTTCTAATTGCTGTCCCCAAAACCACTGGAAGAAAAACTATGTCTAGTTGTGAAAATGCAGATGGTAAGCCTGAACAATAGCAAGACCAATAAAAGACAATACCCGAATCATAGCAGATAGCATGAGAACAAAAGACTTCATTGAAAATGAGGGATCTGAATGGTTTAAGGGTTAATGCTTTACATAGAATGCAAAGAAATGTAGCTTTAACAAATGTTAACAGTGTGGCACAAATATAAATACAGCAGGTTCTGCTCAAAAACTAAAAAGTCTTTAATGTTACAAGTGAATATGCTGTTTGTTGGCTAAATTGAACGTATGGGGAAATAAATAAAGCATGGCCTGTGCAAAGGTTACGGCACATACATTGCAAAAAAAATAAATAAAATAAAATAAATAAATAAATAAAAATAATAAAGGAATTGTGGACTAAAATTTGCAGACAAATCCATATTTAAGTTTGTTTAAGGTTGTAGATGAACGGGTTAACAAAACATATCATTTGACCAGGGGTGCCTAAACTTTTTAAATACAATGTCGATGTTTAATGCGGTTTATTAATTATATACTTTTGTTTCTAACATAAAGAAGCTTGACTATAAACTGTTATTGGTTAAATGATGAATGATTGCGTGCGTGTGTGTGTGTGTGTGTGTGTGTGTGTGAGAGAGAGAGAGGGGGGGGGAATAAAGACTCTTCTGCGTTTTCTGCGTATGGCGTCTTCTTTAAACACACACACACAGAAACAACAATAAAAATTTTCCTCTGCTGTCTGCGTGGTCTGATTTCACCTGATTTTTAATTAATGATTTTGAAGAATTTTTAATATTTTGAGTCTGGCCAGCTGAACATAACAGTAAAGGCCTTTGGGTTCAGAACGGCGTGTTATTTACACAAACTGATTATATGTGTCTGACACACAGTGGCAGAGACAACATGCGGCAATGAACATAAAAGACACAATCCGGTATCTTTTCCATACCAATACACACAACACACAGTATACAAACTAGACAAATAAACAGCCTGCCCTGACTGCGGTATAAAACTGTAGATAATCTACTGTGCAGTGAATCCGTATTTTGCTATATCTTGTTTAGAGTCTCTGTGCAGTGAAACGGCAGTAATGGCAGGAATGAGCGAGGGGCAGATGGGCAATTGGGCCAAGCAGTAGCAGTGCTGTGGTCAAGTGTAAAGGAACGATTAGCTCAGGAATTCAAAAACAGCATAAAAACATATAACCGAGTGTGAAACGAGCATAAAAGCAGTTTAAAGTGAAATTCCTCCTCCGTCCCCTTTTCTATTAAGCATGTCTTTGTTTATGACAGCAGCTGCAGTGGACAACGACGGCCTGTTCTATCACAAATGATGAATAAAAGCGGTCCTACTTGTGCGGTTTAACTGATTTTCCCTCAGTTTAAACACCCTGTAGATTAGGCAGGTCTTATGTTTCAGTTAGCCCAGCTTTTCTTTTTCAGGCTGTATTTTCAAACGCTGTTTTTCTAACGCGCCATTTTAGAACTGCTTTCCCGCCTTTTCTGCGTCAGTGTGGGGATTTCATGATGTGACGTGTAAAACTCTCACCGCGAAGCAGCTCTGTTTTGTTCTGGTTTCTCCCGTGTGGAGCACCAGATGGCTGATACAATAGGCGCTTCGGTTGGCCTTTCCTGAAGGGAATAATTGGAGGGGAAATTTGAATAACTGTCGCGCGCCTGACGCGTGCCACTTATATCCCTGCTTTTTTCCCAGGGTTTGAACGACGCTCGATTAAGCCTCGCGGGGCTTTTCTCCCCACCCGTATTGAGACAAGCCCCGCCCTCCTGCGCCAGGATTGGCCATAAGTTCACACTCGCAAGCAACCGAAGCTTTGTAGAACTTTGTGTATGTCAGAGCGGCAAGCCAATGGTAAAACAGGAGGGCGGGGCTTGTCGGAATGCAGGTGGGAAGACTTTCCCAGCACTCAGAGACAGTTAGCTGCTCTCATCTACGCTCGCCTGGGAACTCTCACACGACCCGGGTCGCACGGATTTCAACACGTCGGTTAGAAGATAATGAGTCTACGCCTCATGACACGGATTTTAATAGCAAGTAGACGAGGGTCCAAACTGTTCGAATAACCACTTATGGGGGTTACTCAGTTAACAGCAGCTGCTGCTACACTGTTCAGTAGCTGAACATGTTAGTGATTAAACTAATCCATGTCGAGTGGCCTTTATTAAAAATAGGACCGATCATTCCACATGATTTCCAGAACGTATTTTTACGTGTTTTTCTTTTTACTTAAATATTAATGTTAAGCGTTATTTGGCATTTTTAACATTAAAACGTAATCAATTTTGTAATATTTAACACAAATGCTTCTTAAACTCTAAAGCCATTTTGAAGACAATATTCCAAAACCGTGCGATGGTAAAAATGAAGCGTCTTGTGGAAAATTAATAACAGCACTGCAGCAGACAGACTCCGCTGTACTCCAGCGCAGACATTTCCCACACTCCCAGTCTTTGGGGACTTGTTGCTCGCTGCCCCCCCAGAGGAATCCCCCTCCATACGCCTGGCGCGTGCGGATCGGTTAAACGGATGATGAAGGGGAGGGGGCGGGCTGTTAGCGTGGCACGCGCCAGGCACGAGGCTGAACCCTCCCTGGGAATCGAGCTCAGAAAAGGCGCTCGAGCGGAAAATTAGGCTGAGTGGCATATGGAGAGCGCGCGATGTGCGATGTTCTCAGTGTGGGCAACACGAAAGAAACGCATGTCTGCGTCATTTAGGCATGTGGAAAAATATCCTGCGCATTGACGACGCAGCCAAACTTACATTTACTTTGGAGAGCACAACAATTAGAATTTAACAGCAATAACATTAAAATTAATACAGATATGTTCTAGTTTAACCAGCCACAACAATCCTATTACTTTACGTGTAAGACTGAAAATTAAGAAACACTTCATTTTGATCAGGAAACGGATTAAATGCTACGACGAACGAAACGATATTGTGAACTTTTTTGTATGTTTTATATGTGACGAAACAAAAACAAATGAATAACCAATAAAGTAAAAAAGAAATAATAATACACATGGTGCCCCTTGTGACTCGGGGGCCCAAAGAGACTGCTTCCCCATATCGCCTACAGAGGTGCAGAATTTGGGCAGAGCAAAATAAAACTCATCAAATAAAAACACTGTTACTACAGTGAAATCATGATCCAGGTAGACGCAAACGCAGCGACAAAAAACAACACGAGTTTTAAAAAGGTATGTGGTTAAAAAGTACAAGCTTAAGTGCTGAGTTCTCTATTAGAACTCCAGTGGAACCCCTGTTCTGTTCTTCTCTATACTGGAGACCATTTGGTCTGAAATAAAATGCTAAAATTGGTCAACAACAGCAAACAGCATCTGAACGGGATTTAATTGTACCCCCCGTGCACCCCCCCCCGACCCCCCGCCAAAAAAGGAATTATGAATTAAATATGAAGAGCTTAGGTGAGTTAGATTTTAAAACCGTTTCAGAATAAAACAATTATAATTTGTAAATACCACAAAAGCACCAACGTTGAACTTCAGTAGAACTAACTAGCCAACTTCTTCTAATAACAGCAGCTGTGTTCACACACGTTTGTTTTACATCACTAGTGAGGACTTTAATTGATTACTATTTATTTTTGTATTAGGTAATACTACACCTACACCTAAACTTCACCCCAATCACCTCAGTATCTAAAAGGCAATTTTTTGCTCTTTTAGTTTAAAAATGCAATTTGTGGTGGAATTAACACATGCTCAAATTTCTTCACTTGAGCAAAAATGTCATCTTGTCCTATCATAATAAGGACACGTGGCATTTAGCATTTGTAGCATATGGACCAATTATGATCCGTGACATAAAGGTTGTGAATTTATGCATAATGTGACGTCATCAGCGCAAATAAAATATCTGTGAAGTACATACATGCTAGAAAGAGATAATCCCGTAGATTATACGGCTCCTACATCCAAAACAGCAGTTTAAACCCATAAAACGCTCTAAAATATGTTTTCCAGCGCTCATAAATAAAGGTAATGCTCGCCTGCCATCTATCGGTGATAGGCGGTACTGTCTGTTTCAATTCAAGCCTTGAAAGATCATTATGTTAAATATTCTGCAACAGCCTGTATGACCCAAAGCCGATATATCATATGACATATCACAGCCTTTTTTTTTTAGCACCAAACTAGACGTTTCACCGACCACTTTTTTAGACTTTGCTATATTATTGCTTTAAAGTAATCAAAGTATTGTATTACTAAAAGTGAGGTCATTTTAACACACAAAATCCCGAGAAAATCATGTAACAACTCGGCGTCAAATCGTGTTGACACTAGGCTGCGCATCAGATGCACCGTTGGAAGCTGACACGTTTACTCGGTTACCGTGCGCTGTGCCTTTAACATCTGAGTCGGTTTGAGAGCCGAGCGAAGCAGCCCGAGCAGCTCTCTCTCCTTCTCCTCCTCCCCTTCATGGATTATTCAACAAGTGGTTGAGGTGGTGAAGGGGGCTGAAGTGACCGGCCCAAATCATACTCTAAACTATTCAAAGTAATTCTCGTCGCCGAAAATGTAGACGCGCTTCATGGGTTGAGGAGAAAGCCCGACCTGAATAACCGAAGCAGGTGTCCGCGGATAACAGGTGAAATGAGCTGTGTGAGGAAGATAAGCGGCCAGCGGGTAACTTCACACCACACCGAGCCTCGCGGTTCGGCACAAAAGGGACAAAATGGACCGTAAGCAAATTTTTTTCATTCGGTGGCTACGTTGTGAAATTTTTATTCGTGTTTTTACCGTTAGGTCATCAAGGGACATTTTAAAAACGAGTACTGACTTCGTAACCGTGTAACCGGACTGAGCCGCCGACCGTTATGACCGAGCTCTCCTCACCTTTAGTGTTGACTAGCGAGATGCTAGCTTACTTTTGAACTTGAGGAGAAACAAAACACGATGTTAAGAAGTAAAACATCAAGCCACACGTTCCACTGAATACATTTCGTTAATGACAGATGAGTTTTTACATCTTAATGGTGTACAAACAGTCTTCTCGGAGGTGTTGAGCGGCTATCGACATGGTAGCGGAGAGGACTCTTCTCGCCGCCAGGCAGGGCGACATTCAAACGCTGAAGGTGCAGTTAGCGGAAAAAGTACTGGGCAAGGATGTGAGGGACATGCTCGGGGCTACCCCGGTGCACCACGCCGCTCGGGCGGGAAAGTTAACGTGTCTCCGGTTCCTTGTGGAAGAAGCAGGTTTGCCGGGGAACAGCGTGGCCAACAACGGCGCGACTCCAGCTCACGACGCCGCCGCCACGGGGAACCTGGCCTGCCTTCAGTGGCTCCTAACGCAAGGAGGCTGTGGAGCATCGGTGAGTATGAGGTGTTTTAGGTTACAACGGTGGGTTCTTAAAGCGACCGTTTCCATTTGCCTCAGATGTAGTGGGTTAGTCAAGACGTTTGCTTCTTTAGTTTTGCGCTGGAGCTACGAGGACAATGTAGCTAAAAATAATGAAAGCTTACAGCCTGTCAGTTAACTTAGCAAAGTGTAACGTTAGGCCTAAACTTACACTTAGCACAGTTACCTCAAACTGCATGAAATGGTTAAAAGACTAGTGGTTGTATATAGAACCATGAACACTCCATTTGCATGTGGGTTCATTGTAAAATAGTTCTTCAGATTGATGAGGAATGTGTTGTATGTGGTTCTATATTGAAGTATTTTGAAAAGGCTTCTGTATAGCACCAAAAAAAGGTTCTTCTGTTGTTATGATGTGAAGCTTGTAACAGTAGAAGAATCCGTACTCCATCAGTCTGAATGGTTCTACATAGAACATACTAAAGAACCCTTGAAGAACCATCTTCTTTAAGAGTGTATGACGTACTTTTGTCTTTAAAATTGGACAAAGTACTGACAAAGGTTTCAAGATTTTTTAAGTTAAGCAACATATTTTTCTCCTTTTCTCCAGACAACAATATGTCATTTAGTGACTGAAATCACATAAGCAGGTCTTTTTGAGATCATCATGGGCTTTAACTGTTTAGCCCTGTAGTTTGGGTGTAAAACTAAAGAAGCAAACTTTGGATACTGAACATTTGTCTGTAGTTGGGGTAAGAAGAAAATTGTGTAAATTTGATTTGTCACCAAACTAGTGCTTTAAATACAATACCTTGAACTGCTAAGCCTTTTGGCTCAACCTGCAGCTATGACTCAATGCACTGTCACTTGCAAGATGACACATCAGTGTGTCCATCCACATAGGAACAAATGCTGCCTAACACTGATGCTGTTTAAGTCCCATCTTATTATCAGGATGGGCCTTGTCACACTCATTCAACCTTCAGCCCATGGTCAGAGGGTTTACTGTCCTGAGTGTCTTGGTTAGGGTCATCAGACTGTTCAGTTGAGGTGCTTGAACTCTTCTGGGGTGTGTAGCCTAATATTTCCTCTCTAATGGCTAGAGGCAGTTTGTGTGTTGTAGTCCATGGCATGCACAGAGTTCAGTTAAGTTGAAGTCTTATCTGAAACCTCAGTGCCCCAGGGTTCACATTAAATCTTTCCCTGCGTTGCCCATTTGGGCAAGCAGACTGAAAAATTGCTTTCCTGGACAGATTTTAGACTGTCTCAAGCAACTTATTTGTTTTCAAAAACAGACATTACCTATATACACTTACGCTTTACAATTTCAAACAATCTTTACAAATCTTTACTCTTCTGTACTAACTTTTACAAGGAAACACATTTTTTCAATGTAGTTATGTTATAACTGAAGTTTGGGGGGAGGAGCATGGCTGAAACCCCTCCTTCTTTTAATGTAACGTCCTATAAATTCACATCCTCACCTTCCATTCCGTGACGAAGTGTTCGCAATCCCCACTGCCACCCCATCTCCTCCCCATTCCTCAGTCTTGCATCAGTCCTACTACAGCTATGAGGGGGGATCTGGCCTTCTAGCTACTGGCAGAAGCTGCCCAGAACTCCAGCCCAAGTTCTCAGAGTTCTCCCCCTTCCCTCAATCAGTTCTCCCTCATACTACCACCACATGTTGAAGGCATGGTCTGAACTCACAAATGAGGAAATAAAGTTTCTCACTCGCTTCGTCACATACTCTCACCACCAACATTTGAATCACACCCTGCGCTATAGATGATTAATGATAACAGATCAGTGCACAACTGGATTTGACCATTTTTCCCACAGTTAGGTGGTATTTGCCTATGAAAGTGGTTTACAGTAATTTTGAGTTTGTTGTTCACTGAATGTCAGCTTGCCTGACCGACTGTCCCAACTTTGTGTTTTACTTGCTCAGCTAATGCAATCCTTAATGCTGAACACTGTGGCCTGTGAATTTTTAAATTATTCCTCCAGAAGAAAAAAACATCTTGTACATAGTATATCTGTGTAACCAGTAACAGCGTATACAAATTACACATGAAAAATCATTTTTTAGCCATGGTTTCAACTATTTGGCCCATTTGTAATAAGATAATGTAAATAACTTGGACAGCAGTGAAATGCGCTGGCTTTTGAAATTTGTCACATCAAGAAATAACTTATTTCCCCTCTACTTTCATTCCTTAGTTTCAACATTAGGCTTTAGACATTAGTTTGTGCGTTTGCAGGTGTGTACAACTCAGGCAACTTAGTAATATCAACAGAATTAAAATGGGATGCTTTTCGCGTTTTAATGCTTGTAAGTTTAAATAAAAATAAACCAGAAGTTTTTTGTCTTATAACACTAATAACCCAGAAAAGGCAACAGAAAAGTAGGAAGGCCAACCAAACATTCAGGATAAGGTTTCTGCACTGATTACTAGTCCTAAGAAACAAGCTCTACCAGGCCTAATATAGCCTTCAGCTGACCTGTTGAATTGTTAAGGTTCTCTTGAGAACTGAGAGCTAAATCAGGTTAAACCATAATCTGTACTGGTCTCAGACAGCAAAATCTCCAGTGTCAAATTTATTCTTACAGGGTTCATTTGTTTCCACCTGGGGTGTTAATTCAACAGTGCAGGTGTGAATTCAGCACTAAAGATTTTGCTGTGTGAAAATGGTGTGCACACAGTGGGCGTTGAGTGTGTGTAATCCCAAACCAAGCCTGGGGCTTTATTATGTGTTCTTTGAGGGAATGAACAAAAACGACAGAAAGAAATCCAGACATAATGTATTGTTATTGCTTTGAAGTAGATCTGGCTGAAAGCAAGTTAAATAGGCTACTCTGGTGGACATTCTTTTAAGGATTAGCAACACTGTACAATCGTGCTAAGAGTGAACAGGACTAAAGGCATCCAGCGATATGGTCACAGTTCGCACACAAACAGAAAAGTTGTTTTGTCCCACTCTCAGCATTACTTCTTATCTATACCAATGAGCTGGACTAATGTTTTTACAGTGCTATGTGTATTTTCCTTCCATTATGCACAACTAAACAAGAAGGGAGCTGTTTTTGACTTTTTCCCCTTATTTGCATATCTTAGAAAGGCTGGTCCATTTGCATGATTCCTCTGTTGAAACACTGTTCTCTGCCTAGCTTCCTGCTTTAGCGCTGACAAGGTCGCTGATTGGTTACTGTTTTACTGAGAATTACAGGCTTGTGCTCTCTCAGGCTGTTATTGATATACAGCCCAAAATAAGACTCAGCATAATGTATTTGATATGTAGAAGGGCAGAAGTCATAAACCATGGGAAAGTGGTCTTTTCATGGCTTGCAGCTTTGGTAGGGTAGAAGGCTTGATGAAGTTAAGAGATTAGTGATTTTTTGCTCTCACTTCAGACACTGAATAATTCATTATGTTGCCTATTATGTTGGATTAAACTGCTTCACACTCTTACTATCTGGCACTGTAATCTTGGAGTAGATGTTTTTGGGCAAGAAAATGCATATAGTTCTTAAAGAGTAAACTCAACCTCATGACAGACAGCATTTTATCTCTAGTGTAGATCCTACAGTTAGCAGTAGATAAGACAGTTCAGGAACAATTATTCTAAAATGGCAGTTAGAATAGTTGTAAGGTTTCTAAATTGATGGGTTACTGTTGGCTTTCGCAGAAGAAATCTCAGAAATTCCTTCAACATTCAACCCTTACTACTAGGGTTTTTTATCAGTACTATTTGATTGAAGTAACGCCTTATCTGTTTACAACAAAACAAACAAAACATTATATTGAGACTGTGATTGCGACTATTTTCTATAAATTGAAGTTCAGGCCTTTTTCTGCCAAGAACACCACAATATTGACCTATTCTGGCTTGAGGCTTTTCTCCTGAATGTAGTGCGCCAGACTGTCAGTAAGTTGTGGTTGTGATGTCACAACACATGGAGGTTTGGTTGCCTCTAATTGGTCTACGTTATCTACAGGCAAGCTCTGTGATATTAGGTTCAATTTCCCCACTTAAACCTTAAGACAGTGTTTTTAATGTAGGCTATAATTTTAAGCTCTTGCAATTTGAAAATTGTGTTCTCTAAAACTGCGATTTTGATATAAAAATGATTAATCTTTCAGTGATAGGAGCAACTAAAAGTTTAGAATTCACACTTTAACACGATTTCTCTGCTTCTTTCAATGATCTCTTAATGAGAAATAATTAATATTGATGGCGCCACACTTTTGTTATATAACTGCTATATTCTGTTATATACCTCTAAGGGTTTAGGATGTTTTTAGCAAATAAGGAAATTTCAGTGCCAGGGTTATTGAAAATCATATTACATAAATACAGTAATAAACCTGTAAACGCGTGTTTCATTTGCCAAGAACAGCTATAGTACCTTCTCGTATATTGTTGATTCAACACAAGACACAACTTTGCTGTTCATGGCTTCAGTGCAGTACTATACTGCATGTTCAGCCCTCACACATACAAACACACCTGCAAACACACAAGAATCCTGCTTTCATCAAAGCCACTAATACTATGTAAGTCTTGGTGAGCATATAGTGCAACACAAATGGAATTATACACGGTGGCTTTTTTGCTGAAATGGAAAGCGTGGTGACTGTCATAGTGGGCATGTAACCAGAGCTCCCTCTTTCATTTTCATGTTCATTCTCTTCCTCCCATTCACTACTCCTGGGTTTTGTCTTCTGGATGTTGGAAGTGGGAAGCTGCACTTTGTTGTGTGTAACATAAACCTTAGAAGGTTAAATGAAGGCATTGTAAATAAGGTACCGACCGAATTATTGCTAAAAAGAACACATAACTTGTTGGATTGCCAACTTTTTTCTGTCAGCCCTGTTCATGCATTTAAGAATGCTTAGTTAACAGTACTTTAAAGTGAACGTGAAAAAAGAAGAACATCAGATGATGTTTCAATACAGATTGAGTTTTCAATACTTGTATTTTCTGTTCTTCACTGTTCTTGTAAATTAAGCAGTAGGCTACTACATCCAGAATAAAGTAAATAATTTGTATTTGTATTAATTTGCACTTGCATTTGTACTCTGTAATTGTTTTCTCAATTTGATAAAATACTGCCTACAAAAGAGACCTGTTAGAGTTGTACCTGTAATATAAAGCAGCTTCTTGCATTAACATTGTGTGCTTTCATTCATATCAAAACCTCATATCTTCATATTTTAATTTACATACTAAAGTTACCATTTCAGAGATTTACATACTGAAGTTACTGTTTCAAGACAGGGTTTTGTTTCACAGGACACGGTTCCTGAGTACATGAGTACAATGTTTGTAGATTTATTCTGTTTGTAAATAACAGACACAGATTAAGCTGTCTCAGAGATTAGTGCAGTGAAAGTTATTTAAAGTCTTGCCAAACTGGAATCAATTATGTCTCTCGTGTTTGCAGGATAAAGACAGCTCAGGAGCCACTGTCCTGCACCTGGCTTCCCGCTTCAGCCATCATGAGATCACTGATTGGTTACTCAAGAGTGGGGAGGGAAATCCCAGCATTGCCACGGATACGGGAGCTCTGCCTGTTCACTATGCTGCTGCTAAAGGGGACTTGCCCTCTCTCAGACTGCTGTTGGGACACAGCCCAAAGTAAGACCATTTGGTTCACAATTTGTCACGTTCCACCAACATCAAGACTGTTTTCAAAAATATAGTTCAAATTTGTTAAGGCAGAGGCAGTTGATCAACTTGCCATAGGTATTTTTTCACATTTCATTTTACAGTATTTTAATTTGTTTGTTCTGGATATGTGCTCTTAAGGTGGCAACGCTTAGAAAGAATAGCTTCATCAAAAATAGTACAGGATACAAAAAACAATGTTGTGTCAACATATTGACACTCATTTACAAGTTCTTTTTTGGGTGTTTTCGTCCTCCATGTTTTGAAACAAGACAGACTAAAGGGGAGAATGTCTTAAAAATTGGCACCATCTGAAAGAGACTTTCAAGAAATAAAAACTGTGAGCATGTATATTACTAAGATGTACAGTGGAAGTCAAAAGGGTTGGTAAAGAATTTAAACTAAGAGTGTTTGTTGATGTTTTGTGGTTTCTGGTCCTTCACTGGCCTTTTAATGATCAAAATGAACTGCTGTCCACACACCATCCATAGTGGTTGGACTTTTCTTCTCCACACATTTCTCAACGTAATCTCGCAAGTTCTCATTGGGATTTATATCAGGAGATTTTTGTGCTGTTCATCCTTTAAGTGAGCAGTGTCTATCCATGCAGCGTATGCTACTTAACAACTCAAAACGTAGGTCTGTTATTCAGGCATAAAGCTCAAGACTTATTTTTCAGTGACTACTATGAATTATTTTGTGACTATAATGAAAATTACATTTTAGTTTATGGAGTGATTAGAGTAAGGAATAGAAGTCTCGGCCCACATACAGGCCCTTAGGATTTAGGAGGTTATATAATTGAACTGCCTCCCAAGTTCAGAACTTTCTAGTGCCCAAAGAGCTTTTTCAATATAGATCAAGGAGGCAAGGAGGGATTTTCTTGCATTATTGGTGCCAGGGCACTTGACTCTAGGAACCTGGCAACAAGCCATTTCCTCCTGGCCTGTTGTTCGAATGACTTCAAATTAGAGATCTGCGTACCATACCTTTGTTTTCCTGATATAAGTATCAAAGCCTACTTCTTTGACTCACAGTATTATTAATCCAATACTTTTTCTTCAAAAATAATAAGATTTAAAGTGATCTATTTTTACTTGAAGTGTTTAAGTCACTGAAGATGAACAACTAAAAGTAGTCTATGGAGTTAAAACTACTCAAATATTCTGCTACCCCACTGAAAAATAGATCACAGTATGACATGACGCAAAGTGAGCGTGGGGTATTCTTGCTCGAATTGTTATGAGATTGAATCAGATTTTTTTTTTTCCTTTCAAAGTCCAATACAGCATTTTGTACTAATGTTCGCCTGATATCAGATGGGTGCCATCTCTACGTCAAGTTGTTATGAAGCTATACTGTACAACAAAATTGATGACTATGTTAAATAACTCACAAAAGTATGCGGACACCCGTCCTATTTATTGAGTTCAGGTGTTTCAGCAACACCCATTGCTAACGGGTGAATAAAATCAGGCACGTAGTCTTGCAGTCACCATAGATGTACATTGACAGTAGAATAGGTCATACTGAAGAGCTCAGTGATTTTAAACGTGGCACTGTCATGCAATGCCTCCTTTGCCACAAGTCAGTTTGTAAAATTTTCCTGCTAAATCTGCCCTGGTCAAGTGTAAGTGCTATTATTTTGAAATGGAAGTGCCTAGGAACAGCAGCAACTCAACCACAAAACGGCAGACCATGCAAACTCTACTGCTGAGTGCTGAAGTTCAAAGAGCCTATCCTGTATTGCATCATCCACTAAACAAGCTTTTCAACCGGCAGCTGTGACAAAAGAACATGTAAACAACCTGGAATTAGCCAGAAATGAACCGAATACCGTTCGCCAAACAAAATGGGCTGTAAAATGCTTTACAGACTGGCTGGAACAAAACAACGCTAATATTGATCTAGCTAAAAAAATGACAAAACTGAGCTGAATTTTGTGGCAGTTTTATGGCTCAGTCTGATTTGGTCAGACTCTGAAGACGAGACTACACATTTGGCGAATGGTATTTGGTTCATTTCTGGCTAATTCCAGGTTGTTTAGGTGTTCTTCGGTCACAGCTGCCAACTGAAAAGCTTGGTCAGTGGTAATGACAGTTTCAGAATTTAGTGTAAGGAGCTGGAGAACAAACTGTCGTGCAGTGCTGTGCAGTGGAGTGGAGTTCATTACTCTGACGTAGCAACAAGCTGCTTGTTAAGGAACTAAGTTTGGCAGAAGGAATTGCTGACATTAAAACATATTAAATGCCACGTTCACCGCTGAATTTATTTATTTATTACTTTATTTATTTAACCGTTGTATAAAAGCACTCGAGGTCGTGTGTAATCGCGAATAACATCACGGCTTCGGCTCGTGTCTGCAGCCAAATCACAGCTGTTTAGCTAATTATCTACTACTATCAACATGTCTTCATCAGTATAATATTAATGTTGCATTCGGGGCCCAAACATTGAACTGGACCTTTTTTCAAGCTTTTGCTTGCGACGTAGTCCGAAAACCTCTGTGAAATCTGACCCAACACCTCTGACTTGTAAATTATTATATCAGGCTTTACAGAGTGACTCGCAGCAGTGCACAGACACCATATTTCAGCATGTGCAGCTATAATACAATTTTACAACTAACTCTTGCGATTTGACAATTGAAATTTTAAATATTTCAGTAGATTTCAATAAAAAAACAATTGAGCTTTCCACCCTACATCAACATCAGGATGGTCAGTCAACCTAAATTGAATATTTTTCAGATATTTTAGCTGCCTTTATCATCTCAGTTTCAGGAAATGCAAAACAGCGGTTCAACAATGAGCTATCTCTCTTTCTCTGTCGTTCGCTTCACACGCACACACAAACGCACACACGTGCATACTGTTGCTAATCAGCTCTGTTGCGGAGGGACCCTGTCCCATAGAGATAACCCTGAGATGGCTCTCATGGCCTTGTTATTGTGTTATTTCTACACACACCAGTGCACAGGCACATGCTTAATGAATGTGCCCAAGTCTTTTGTGTAATTTGCAACAGGTGGCAGTCTGTTTATTTAAAGGTCTGATTGCATCTCCATTCATAAAGTGTATATATATCAAATGTGCTGCGTCAAGGTTTTCAAACCAGTTCTCAAAGTTCCATGCAGTTTTATTCTGTTTCTTCTCCCAAATACCTAAGCAAATAATGGAAATGGTGGAAACTACACTTTAATAATTTACTATATATTAAGCAATAATGATGACATAATTAATGTCTGATCTGAGCAGCGTGTTGGCAGTGTTTAACTTTTCAAACACCTAGGATAGTCCTTCCTTTACTTATGCAAGTTCGAGACTAGCAATGCACGCAGTACACGAGTCTTAGTAAATTTGTTCTGCATAGCTAAAAACACAGAAATGACTGTGTCTCATATCCTCTAGCAAAAGCATAGGTTTAGAATGTGTTGGCTTTATTCAGTGTTGGCTTAGTTCTTAAACCAGCCATTTAAATTAATGTATGTCGACTGTCATAAAGCCATTAAAATAAGTCACTTATTACTGATTTATTATAATATTAATCATCATTATACAAGGGGAACGATGATATAACAGTATTTAAATTGCAAAAGCAACTCCTGGGTGTCTGCATGGTGAAAAACATCAGCGAGCATAAATGTGACTCTCAGCAAAAAAAAAAAGAGTTACGTACTGTGCATATATCTACAGTCAGGTACATAAATATTTGTACGTTGACAAAGTTATTGTTATTATAGTTGTCTAGTGCAGAATAAGACTGGGCCATATGACAGTGTCTGTCATTATTATTACATCACAATATGTCACAGTAAGTTTTTTAAGCATAATGTGGATATTGTCAGTACTTATCATCCAACTGCATGTATGACAAAAGCATAACTAGTCGTGTTTCACTGGATTTTGTGAAAATACCTGTCGTTGTATGCATAGTTTTTGATTGTTTTAAATGTGACACTATTTTTTCTACTTCAGATCAAATAAATGGTGTGACATATTGTGTGACATATGAAAACGTCTTGAATTAACATGACATTACACATTTGCCGTATCGCCCAGCTCAACTGCAGCATATTGGAGATAAAATAATTAATGATGAACAGTGCAGGAATTAAAGCCATTTTCATGCATCCCCATTTTTGGACAAAGTAGCATGATAATAAATGAAATTGTCTTTTTTAATAATTGGAACTGCCTGAAGTTTGTGACCCATAGACATCACTAGATAGATCTTCCGTGAGGCCTTTACTGCAGTCTTCTGTTCCTGCTTGTTCTTTCTGTGTTTTACCTTCAGTTTTGCCTTCATTAATGAAATCCCTGCTCTATTGGATTGAGGCTAGGTGATTGACCTGGCCATTGCAGAACATTCCACTTCTTTGCCTTAGAAAGTCTTGGGTGTCTTCGCGTCACTGTCCATCTGCACTGTGAAGTGTGATCCAGTGAGTTTTAAAGCATTTGGCTGAATCTGAGCCGATAATACAGCCCTATACACTATCTCCACTAATGAGCTCAGTGTAGCTAACTGTATTTTACTAAGAAATGGGCGGCGGTGATAAAACATTTAGCTCCATGTTACAAATGTTCTCACTTTAAACACTTGTGTGGTGTTGGGGTCTGTGGGACCCATTTTCAGTTACCAAAAGAAAAGTGATGCGATTAATTGTTACTTCAGCCCCAGATTCATTGGCCTTTGCTCATTTTCTGTGAAGAACATAAAAAATACCACATTTTCAATGACTTAACACTGTTCACCCCCTACACATTTATATTACACATGTGGTGTTTGGGTGAACCCACAGGGAATAAAAGTGTGGAGGTGCTGTGTCCCTTCACTCTGTTTCTCTCCTACATGGCCTACTGTTAGTGTGTGTGTGTGTGTGTGTGTCTGTGTGTGTATGTGTTTGTATATGTGTGCGTGTGTGTGAAGGTTGACAACATGGACAGGCTGACGTGGACCCATGGACGTGG